CAGCTAGTGACCATCCAATCTCCCACTGACCATCACCATCACAGCTAGTGACCATCCAATCTCCCACTGACCATCACCATCACAGCTCGTGATTTTCTTGTAAAGAATACAATGAATCGATTGTGTTTTATGACAAATATATAAAAGCGTACAAAGAAATGAAAGTTAAAAAAATGTTTTGTTTTATTGATGCTCTGGTTTTGTTTCTCTCCTGGGGTTTGTTCCAAACAGCATTAGACTTCTGTTCCTGATGGGTCCATGGTAAACCTGGAGCAGTTGACACCTCCAGCCCCTTCTCCGCTTGCGAGAACCTCAGGAGTTGGGAGTAAGTTCTTTATCTCCTGTCCCTCAGCCATGTGTTCGTCTGTCGGTTCTGAGCTGGGACATAGGTTGCAAAGGGGAAAGGGCTTCACCCACAGATACCTCTGCAGGGCATTTGGAAGCTGATAAATATTGGTTAAATCTTTCGGCTCAGATTTGAAACTAGGGAAGTGTGCCACAAAACCCCGCTCCTCCAATGTTCCTGAAATAAAACACACAGAACACTTTTTCAGCTAATTGATTAACACCAACAACGCACAAGGACTGTCTGTATTTACACAGCACCTAGACTATACACAGACGGTGAATGCATCACAACAAGATTAAATTCCTAAATAAAAATCGAAAGAACTGTGGATGCTGTATAACAGAAACAAAAACAGAAATTGCTGGAAAAGCTCAGCAGGTTCGGCAGCATCTGTGAAGAGAAATCAGAGTTAACGTTTCGGGTCCGGTGACCCTTCCTCAGAATTGATGGTAGCTAGGAAAATGTTGCTTCTTTATGCAGAAGATAGGGTTGGGAGGGCAGGGGTAAGGAGTAAACGATAGATGATTGGGGATGAGCCCAAAGAGAGAGAAAAGCAGTTGGACAGACAAAGGAATGACTAATGCCGACATCACCACACCCACCGCCAATGTTCTCTCCCACCTATCCGCCCCCTCCCATCCCACTGACCAATCCCCACTCACCTGCACTACCTGCACTCACCTATCACCATGCCACCTACCTTCCCCAGTCCCACCCCTCCACTCTCTATTTATTTCTGAGCCCCCTTCTCCCTCCCCATTTCTGAAGAAGTGTGCTGACCCAAAACGTCAACTTTCCTGCCCCTCTGACGTTGCCTGGCCTGCTGTGTTCCTCCACACTGTGTTATCTCTGACTCCAGCATCTGCAGTTCTTACTATCTCTGAATTAACAATCTGGCTAGGAAGGTGAATAGCTGTTAATGGAAACTGTTAGTGGCGAACAATGGTGTGTGTTTAATAGCAGACTATGTGATCACAAGGCCTGATGTACGGGGGTTCGGGTTTAGGACAGAGGGGAGATCAAGCCCTAAAGTTATTGAACTCGATATTGAGTCCAGCAGGCTGCAGGTTCCCCAAGTAGAAAATGAGGTGTTGTTCTTCTAGCTTGCGCTGAGCTTCGCTGGAACACTGCAGCAAGCCAGAGACAGAGATGTTGGCCAAGGACCAGAGTAGTGTGTTAAAGCAGCAGGAAACAGGAAGCTCAGGTTTATTTTCACGGGCCGAAAGTAGATATTCAGCGGAGCGGTCACCCAGCCTAAGCTTCGTTTCCCCAATGTAGAGGAGACCACATTGCATGCAGTGAATGCAGTAAACTAGCTAAATTCCTGCAAATCTGAACCGAGGAAGCGTTTTTCCTCGGAATCAGGCTTGAACTGCCCTGAGCTCTCTTGCCACCTTATTTTGTCTGAGATTGAGTGAGAGAAGCCCAAGCCTGCAAACGTTGTGAAGCAAGTGGGCAACCAAAACTGAGTTCTTTATTCATTCATGGGATGAGGACATCGCTGGCTAGGCAGCATTTATTGCCCATCCCTAATTGACCAGAGGGCAGTTCAGAGTCAACCACATTGCTGTGGGTCTGGAGTCACATGTAGTCCAGACCAGGTAAGGATGGCAGTTTCCTTCCCTAAAGGGCATTAGTGAACCAGATGGGTTTTTCCAACAATTGACAGTGGTTTCGTGGTCATCATTAGACTCTTAATTCCAGATATTTTTATTGAATTCAAATTCCACCATCTGCTGTGGCAGGATTTGAGCCTGGGTCCCCAGAATGTCACCGGGTCTCTGAATTAACAGTCCAGTGATAATACCACTAGGCCATTGCCTCCACTGCAAGTTGGGTAGCATACAATTGATATGTATCAAAAACAAAGTTGCTGGAAAAGCTCAGCAGGTCTGGCAGCATCTATGGAGGAGAAAACAGAGTTAACGTTTCGGGTCCGGTGACCCTTCCTCAGAACAATTGATATGTATGTTCAGCCGTGTGTATGGGTGTAAATGTACATCATTGAAGGTGGCAGGACAGGCAGAGAGCATTGTTAATAATATAGAAACACAGAAGTTAGGCGCAGGAATAGGCCTTTCAGCCCTTCAAGCCTGCTCCACCATTCAATAGATCCAAGGCTGATCATCAAACTCAGACCCCAGTTCTCACTTCTCCCTTTGTTCCCTTTAGCTCTATTTCTAATTCCTTCTTGAAAATATTCAATATTTTGGCCTCGAATGCTTTCTGAGGCAAAGAATTCCACAGGCTCACCACTCTCTGGGTGAAGACATTTCTCCTCATCTCAGTCCTAAATGGCCTATCCTGTATCCTTAGAATGTGACACCCTTCCTCTGGTTCTGGATGCCCTGGCCATCAGGAATATCCTTCCTGCATTTACTTTGTCTAGTCCTGTCAGAATATTATAGGTTTCTATGAGAGCCCCTCTCATTCTTCTAAACTCCAGTGAATAAAGTCCTAACCAGTCTAATTTCTCCCCTTATATCATTCTTGCCAAGCCAGGAATCAGTCTGGTAAACCTTTGTTGTACTCCCCCCATAGCCAGAACATCCTTCCTCAGATAAGGCGACCAAAAGTGCACACAAAATCCAGCTGTGGTCTCTCCAAGGCTCTGTACAATTGAAATATAACCTCCCTGTTTCTGTATTTTAATCCTTTTGCTATGAAGGCCAACATACCATTTGCATTCTTCACTGCCTGCTGCATCTGCAATGGAATTCACTGCCTGGGAGCACGGTAGAAGTAGATTCAATTATGACATTCTAAAGAGAATTGGACTTTTATTAGAAAAGGAAGAATAAACTGGGCTCTGGGAAGAAGGAAGGATAAGGGCACAAAATAACTTGCTCATTCAGAGAGCCAGTACAGACATGATGAGCTAAATGACCTCCTTTTGTGCTGTTATAATTCCGTGATTCTGTGATTTTGGGCCCCATTGGACAAGTTGGTGAGGAGCCAGGAATTGTAGAAGAACAGAGAGAGATTCAGGAGGGAGTTCCAGGATTTTGACCCAGCGACAATGGAGGAAGAATAATTATATTTCCAAGTCAGGATGGTGAATGGCTTGGAGGGGAATTTGCAGCTGGTGGTGTTCATATGTATCTGCTGCCCTTGTCCTCCTAGATGGTAGAGGTTGTGGTTTTGGAAGGTGCTGTCTAAAGACCCCTAGTGAAATTTTGCAGTACATCTTGTAGATGGTAACTACTGCTGCTACTGAGTCAGAGGTGGAAGGAGTGGATATTTATGAATGTGGTGTCAATCAAACAAGCTGCTTTGTCCTGGATGGTGTTGAGCTTCTTGAGTGTTGTTGGGGCTGCACCCATCCAGACAAGTGGGGAGTATACCATCACACTCCTGACTTGTGCCATGTAGATGATAGACAGGCTTTGGGGAGTCAGGAGGTGAGTTACTCACTGCAGGATTCTTAGCCTCTGATCTACTCTTGTAGCCATTGTTATTTATATAGTGAGTTCAGTCGAGTTTCTGGTCAATGGTAACCCCCAGGATGTTAATAATGTGGTTTCAGTGCTGTCAATGCCATTGAATATCTAGGGATGATGGTTAAATTCTCTTTGTTTTGGAAATGGTCATAGCCTGGCACAGTTGTGGAGCAAATGTTACTCACCCTTTGACAGCTCAAGACTGGATATTATTCAAGTCTTTCTGCATTTGCTTCAGTATCTGAGGAATCACAAGTGATGCTGAACATTGTGCAATTATTGGCAAAAGTTTCCAACTCTGACTATATGATGGAGGGAAGGTCATTGATAAAGCAGCTGAAGATGCTTGGGCCTAGGATGCTACCTTGAGGAACTCCTGCAGAGATGCCCTGGAGCTGACATAACCTTCAACAACCACAACCATTTCCATTATGCCAGGTATGACTCAAATCAGTGGAGAGTATTTCCTCTGATTTTCATTGAGATTAGTTTTGTCCAGGCTCCTTGATGCCACACCTGGTCAAATATGGCCTTGATGTCAAAGGCTGTCACTCTCACCTCTCCTCTGGAATTCAGTTTTGAAGAAGAGGAGGGGAATTTTCCCCAGTATCCTGACTGAAATCTATCCCCAACCAACACTGCAAAAACAGATGAGCTGATCATTATCTCTTTGTCTTTAGTGGGATCTTGCAGTGCAAATTGGCTGTTGTGTTTCCCTGGCCATGCTTGAACCAAAGCTATATGGAGGTCTGGAGTTGACTGGCCCTGGTGGAACCCAAATTGGATATCGCTTAGCAAGCCTAGAAAGTCATGCAGTTGAAGGGCTATTAGGGATGGGCAACAAATGAATAAAACTGAATAATAAAAAATGTGGAGTCCTGATAGGTGCTTTGTGTTTGCAAATTATTATTTCCTGACTTTTGTTAATTTAATGAATTTCTCCTTGCATTTGCAATTACAAGTTATAGAACATAGAACATACATTGAACATAGAACAGTACAGCACAGTACAGGCCCTTCAGCCCACGATGTTGTGCCGACCTATTATCCTACGAAGATCAATCCACCCTGCATGCCCTACATTTTACTATCCTCCATGTGCCTATCCAAGAGTCGTTTAAAAGTTTCTAAAGTATCTGACTCCACAACCACTGCTGGCAGCGCATTCCACACGCCCACCACTCTCTGTGTGAAGAACCTACCTCTGACATCTGCTCTATACCTTCCTCCAATCACCTTAAAATTATGTTCCCTCGTGATAGTCATTTCCGCCCTGGGAAAAAGTCTCTGACTATCCACTCTATCTATGCCTCTCATCATCTTGTACACCTTGATCAAGTCACCTTCTTCGCTCCAATGAAAAAAGCCTTAGCTCCCTCAACCTTTCCTCATAAGGTCTGCACTCCAGTCCAGGCAGAATCCTGGTAACTCTCCCCTGCGCCCTCTCTCAAGCTTCCACATCATTCCTGTAATGAGGTGACCAGAACTGAACACAATATTCCAAGTATGGTCTAACCAGAGTTTTATAGAGCTGCAGCATAACCTCACGGTTCTTAAAATCAATTCCCCTGCCAATGAAAGCCAACACAACATATGCCTTCTTTACAACCCTATCAACTTGGGTAGCAACTTTGAAGGATCTATGGACGTGGACCCCAAGATCCCTCTGTTCCTCCACACTGCCGAGAATCCTGCCATTAACCCTGTATTCTGCATTCAAATTCGACCTTCCAA